CTTAATGGTCAAGGGGAGGAATGATAAAAGACAAGGAAAATAGGCATCTGGTAGGTGTGGGAAACCCAGGATACCTAAGTCTTCTCTTGCCTCTCATTCTGGAAGCTTCCCTTCTGATTTCCAGGCACAGGTCTTCCATTGGGAAGTGCTATGTTTGGTGTGTGTGTTTGCCAAGGCTGAGTGATCTGGGTGAGTCCTGAGCTAGGATAGGTAAGCAGCATTGAAGCCGTTTCCCATCCTCCTTGGCCTCTGTCTGCATCCCAGATGAGTCCTACCGAGAAATCTCCTCCACAGGCCAGTGAGTTCCATCAGAGAGGATGGGGCCTGGGCAGGAGGGAGTGAAGGCAGGGCAGGAAAGGCTTCCTGGAGATGGGGTTCCATGGCTAGTTCTTGTTACTCTCTGGTGCTGGCTTGGCTGGTACAAGGGGCTGCTGCTGGGAAGGGCTGGGACTGGCTTTGTAGATTGGAAATCTTGCTTGGAGTAGGTGTGAGGTGGCCAGAGTTGTCCATGAGGTTTTGAGCACCTGTTTCCTATTAATTATTGTCCACTGATCAAAATCTTCCTTGGAGACCAGGCCCCAGTCAGGGAGTTAGACATCAGATATCCTTTCTCCTCCCTCAATCTCTAGACTTCAGCATTTCTGACATTCCTAGCTCTTGGATGTGAGATTCCTGCCTGATGAATGTTTATCTTCAGCCAGGAGAAGGCAGGAAGGGCTAGAAGGGGTGCTGGGGCCCAGCCATCTATCTCCCCAGCCTTGAAACTCCTTCTAGCTACCCTTAGGAATGTCCCTTCTCCCCTGCTCCCCTCTGTCCCCTGGCCCCCTGAGCCTATTAGGCACCACTGGACAGTCTGAAGCCAGTGCAGGATGGTTTTCTTTCCCTGGAGCCCTGCACGGCACACCCAGTCAGAAGTGAAGACATGGAACTCATCCCTCAGCTCAATATCAGGGGTGCTACAGAAGCAATGTTGCCTTGATGGAAATTGGCAAATTCTGATCAGAAGTCACCTTCCTGTTCTACTACTGATTGGTTAGGCCAGGCCACAGATCAGTCCTAGGACCGAAGGAAAGCTAGAGGGCTGGGTAGGTAGTAAGGGATAAAAAGATGGCAACCTCAAGATGGAAGGATGATACTGCACAAAGACTAGTCTTTTTTCCCATCAGGCCTAGAGGATTTCTGCCTGTCATGTACCATAAGGCAGTAAGTCTGGGCTTGGGACTTGAGGGAATGCTGTCAGGAGAATATTTCCACACTCATGCTCAGTGGCAGAAACCAATGAGGGACCAAAATCAAACCCCCATACTAACCAAGTATGGGGGTAGGAGGAGAATTAATAAAGCAAAAAGGCCACTTCCCTGGAGGATTTCATCCGATTCCAGGCTCTGGGACCTCTCTCTAGGGAGAGAAGCCTCTGTACTCTACGTTTGTTTTCAATGAACATGCTGCTTTAGTACTTCGCGACTCCTCTATCTCTTAATTCTTTGCTGGGCAGAGGAACGGACCTGTACTCCGAACTGCATCATGACTGCAGTTAAAATGCTGGTCTCAGCTGTCAAACTAGATCCTTCCAGATTCTTCTCCATCTCTTGTGTCCCATGCAAATCCATTGTTTGACCTGTAGGCTTTGCTTTCCTGGTGTCCCACACATTGTGCTACTGCACCCCCAGGACTCAGATGCTTCTCAAGAACAAGCTCCCAGAGCTTCTGGCCTCTTAGTGCATCTCCAGCTTCCCTCTCTGCTCTCTAGAGAGCAGTGGAGGGATCCCACCCTGAGCGTCACTGCTTGACGCTCCTTATCAGAAGAAGAACATCTGGCTCTGTGTACTCAGCCTCCTCTGAAACACCCCAAGCAGGAGGGGAGTCCCTCCATTGGGTTCCTGCCTGCCTGCTCCCTGGAGATCCAGAGGCCCCTCCTGAGACTTTTTCTCGACCCCCTCTCCCCGCAATGGCACTTACCTACCACGCCAGGAATGGCAGCCCAAGCCGGACAGAGAGTTTTGTCCTCTTCTAGAAGTCCGGAGTCTAGAAGGTGCTGGTATATAGAGAGTAGTCCATAATTATGTATTAAATTAATTTCAAAAGGTGGGCTTCTGAGCTGGGCACCAGTGGCTCAAGCCTGTAATCCTAGCTACTCAGGAGGCTGAGATTTGAGGATTGTGGTTCAAAGCCAGCCAGGGCAGGAAAGTCCGTATGACTCTTATCTTCAACTAACCACTAAAAATTGGAAGTGGAGCAGTAGCTCAAAGTGGTAGAGTGCTATAGTTGAGTAAAAGAGCTCAGGGACAGCACCCAAGCCCCATGATTGACAAAGAAAGAAAGAAAGAAACCCAAAAAGCGAGCCTCTCGCTTTCTTCTTCTTTTCCAGAAATGAACCATTAAACAATGCTGGAGTTGCTGGGGCTAGGTATAACCTGAGCTCCAGACCTAGCCAGGGAGGCCATGTTGGACAAAAGTGGGATGTGTGTCAGGGCAGAGAGAGAACAGTTTCAGCCTGAGAGGCCCAGGTGCCTCTCTAGGGCTCCAAGCAATCATGGAAGCCCTGGGGCAGCCTTCTTTTTATCCTGGTGATACTGAAAACAGACAAAGAGCCAACCCTGGACCAGGCCCTTTGTTTTTTATGGTCTTGAAGAATGAGTCCACAGTCATATAAGGAGAAGTAAAATGGCAAAGATTTATTGAAGAAAAAAAATGTTAAACAGAACTCCTGGGAGACAGGAGGGGGTCCCAAAGATGGGCACTGCCTGGTATGTTGGGATACTCTGTACAGGGATTCATAGATGTCTCTAGGAGAAAGCTCCATGACTTGGAAGATCATTGGGCAGCCTGTGGGCCATATCAGTATTTGGGTCCAATCATCGGCTCCACACAGTCTGTAGGAGTTCTCCATGAGTCTTTCAGCCTCTCTGATTGGGTGCTTGTTCTGGTGTACATCTCTGGGGTCCAATCAGCTCACTGTTCACATACATGTCTTCCAGGGGCCAGGGCCATGATGTCTTGCCCAAGGGCAGCATGGGCAACTGATCAAGGCCATGTGATGTGATGTCTGAGGGTCCACATATGGGACTGCTCAAGGCCATGGTGATGTGACATCTAGGTGCTTGCACATGGGACTGCTCAAGGCCATGGGTGTGAGAAGCAGAACCTCTATGGGAGGGAGCCTTTGCTTTGGTTGGCTAGCCAGGCTCTTTTTCTGCTCTTCACTGGACCTGACACTCTCTGCACTCTAGTTCGGGGAATATGGGCCTTGGCCTGGGTCCCCAAATGGGGTTCATATAGACTATGGCAGGGTGAAGGCAGAGGTAGCCAAAGCTAGGGCCAGCTGGCCCCTCCCTGTGTAGGGAGAGACCTGAGCCTTCTCACGTCTAAGTCTACTCAGCCTAGCTTTCCCAGGGTGTGGAATGTGTCACCGGAGGGGGAACTGGTCCACTTTTGCTCCCTTCCCCTCAGCTTGGACAGGGGCCCATCCCCACGGGAGAAGATGAAGCTCTTTTCCTCCCTTACAGCTTGCCCTGGTTCTGGTCAGGCTGGTTTTTCCTCTCCTGATGACCAGGGGTCATCCCGACTCAGCCTGACTGCCCTGCCCCCTCTCCTGGCTTTCTATTGGTGAGAAAGGCCTGAGCTCGTGAGCCACTGTTGGAGTGGCCATGGATCCCTGCCTGGCTTGTGTCTGTCCGTGGCCTTGAGCTGCTCACACAGCATGGCCAGCTTTGCCCTGCCCTACTGCCAGACTTCAAGCCAACTAGGAAGAATTGGAAGAATTGGATTCCTCCTAGTTAGGGAGCACCTAAGGCTGTCAAGAGAAGGCATGGTCTCACGACAGAGTGGGAATGCAGGGGTCTGGCTCATTTGAGATGCCCAGGACTCGGCAGCACTCTGTGCATTGTGCTTCTGTTCTTCTTATCCCTCCAGTTTGCCATATAAGGCATTTGGGAAGTACCCCTACCTTCCATTAATTACCTCCACACCCTCTTGTCTCCTTTTATAGATCCCAAACTGATCTCCTTCCCCTAAGTCCTACCCACTTCCATCATCCTGCCCTACCCCAGACCCATGGTTATTTCTCAGATGTAAATCTGACCATCTCACATCTCTTAACCTTCCATCATCTTCAGGGCCAAGTCTAGCTCTTGGCTGACTCTCCCTGACACCCTCCCCTGTAGTCCCTAAGTCAAATCTACCCCTACTCCCTGCTTTCTCTTCGCCCCTCTGCCACATAAGTGCCTACCTTACTTTCAGCTTCTTACTCAAGGGGTATGTCTTTTTTTAAAATTTTATGTTTTTTTACATTTAAAAAAAATGTTTTTGTCAGTTATGGGGTTTGAACTCTGGGCCTAGGCACTGTCCCTCAGCTCTTCAGCTCAAGGTGAGTGTTCTACCATGTGAACCACAGCGCCACTTCCACTTTTCTGGTGGTTAATTGGAGATAAGTGTCTCACAGATGCTCGGCGCCAGTGGCTCACACCTGTAATCCTAGCTACTCAGGAGGCTGAGATCTGAGGATCAGGGTTCAAAGCCAGCCTGGGCAGGAAACTCCGTGACATTCTTATCTCCAATAAACCACCAGAAAACTGGAAGAGGTGTTGTGGCTGAAGGTAGAGCACTTGCCATGAGCTGAA